TAAAAGACAAAATTTGATTTTCTCATATTAGTCATAGTAAATTCATACTATCTGCCTCAGAGGGTTATCATAAGGGTTAAACAGTGTGGTGTATATGTGTGTGTGTGGGGGGGGGTGTTAATGAAAATGGTGCCTGAGCCCATACTGAATGCTGCATGGAAATAGTCCAGATATAAACAATATACAATACTGATACTCACAAAAATTTATGTTGCTAGATGACTCTGACCTCCCCACCTGGTACGGCAAAGGGTCCTGAGAGAACTGTCATCTGACAGCCTTACTTCACTGAAGAAAGTACCCAACGTCTCTAAAATCTGGAGCAAGCAGTAGCCACGAAAGAAGGATCAGTGCTCTGGATTTATAAAGGAAGGATGGCAACTAGAGCTAAAAAGGAGAAATAAGACTTGTTCTGCAGTTTCAGTGAGCTGGACCCAAATCCGGGGGAGGTTACAGAGGGAAAGATCTGCTCAGAAGCACACGATAATGACAGCTGCCAGCTCCATGTCCCTTCACTGTTCCGTACTGTTGTTAGGTCCTTGCATCCACTGGCCCCTGAACCACAGCAGCCTGGCTCTGCCGTCCATTCATAACCACTGCAACCAGCAGCGAAGCTTCCAGCTTTGGACTCCCAGGCAAGTGTCCTCACCATTATACCCCTATTTCCTCATTCAAAAAACAAGGGTCAAGACCATCTCAGTAAACGGTAAAATAATTACATTGAAAACTAGCCCTTAAAAATGCTGGCTACACAGAAAGCAGTTCATTACATTTTACATACATATTATTTTAATTTTTCAGAAAAAAATACTTAGATGTCAACAAACTGTGTCTTGGCTCTCAGGGGCAGTACGATACAAATGTCTACCAAGTAAGTGGAGTTCAGGTGGAAGCTTGCCTCTTGGGCTGTCCTTCTAGCTAAATAAGATCAACTGTGAAAAATTATAGTTAAAAGTGCCACAATGAGACCAGGTTCTCCATAGTCATTGGTGTGACAGGTTATAAGGTTAGATCATGAATAGGATCCCACTCGTCCTCTGACCATCCCGAACGCCTCTCACTCAACTGTACTATCCCAGGAACAACTGTGCCATAGCTCACATTAACTAGTAGCTACTTAGCCGACTCCCAAACCTAGTCAGTTCAGCTCACCTCTGTGCGGATGCGAACAAAATCCAATGTGGCCTGGCTAGCCCTCTATTCATTCTTAAGCCTCTCCTTTAGACATTCTCAGGCCATTAATCATTTAGTCCACTTCTGACCCTATGTTCCTCATTAACTAGATGGAGGAAGCAGATGCGAAGCTAATTTACTACTGATCATATGTGTAGTCTTCCTCCACACCTCTGCCCCCCAAACCACGCAAAAGCAAACCGACAGCTGCGGTGTCTTTGCCAACCTTTTCATTCGGGTTGAAGAAGAAAACAAGGTTTCTAGTCCTGCTTTCCAAGGGCAAGTCTTGTCTTTTCTGATACCCACTTAGGACTGTAATTTACATTGCCTTCCCTCCCTCATCTTATAGCAACTTCCTCTCTCTAATTTTCTACCAATTCCCCCCCCCCCCCCAATACAGGGGGAAAAGTCCGGCCTTTCACTAAGTTCAGACTGCTTGCTTCCCTGCCAACTATCTCAAGTGGTCTCCTGAGGTAGGTTGTGTAATGGGTTGAACTAATCAATGTGACTCGCTGGAAGGCAACCTGATCCAGGTCCTTCTGGAGGGCATGCACTTTTAAGTATGCTTAAAAGTCCCAGCATCCAGCAGCCCTCTGGTTTGGTAACCAGTTGTGATTTCGTTCATTCACGATATATATTTTATACCCACAAGGAAAGAAAATATACTGCAGAAGTTTATTAGATATGACAAAATGGCCCTTTAACTAAGTGCTGTTAATTGCTTTAGGTCAGAATTACTGAATTGGTGACACTAGTCTCTTAAAAAGGTGTTTTTGGAAGCAAATGTCCACGTGAGCTAAGGAGGAATGGTTAAAGTTGCTATGGTGATGTAAATTACTCAAACAAACGCTGAGTCTTAGCTTACTTAAGATTTACCACCTACAGAAAAGCAGCAGTTTAGGAAAATAAAGGCTTTCATAGATTGTAGGAAAACGACCTGGCGAAAGGAAGCAGTAAGAGTGAATATCGGGCATTTAAAAAGCAGAGAGGGCTGGAGAGACAGCTCAAAGGTTAAGAGCACTGGTTGCTCTTCCAGAGGACCCGAGTTCAATTCCCAGCAACCACATGAAAGCTCACAACAGTCTGTAACTCCAGTTATCATACATCAGATCTGAGGCTCTATTCTGGTTTCCGTGGGCGCCAGGCATGCACAAGGCGCACAAATATACACGCAGGCAAACACCCATATACATATAAATAATTTTTTCAAAAGAGGATAGCTAACTAGAGAGGGTGGAACAAAAACAAAACAAACAACAACAACAAAAAAAAAAAAACAAGGACGAGGCAAGGGCCAATCCTTCAGAGAACCGAGCCAGAACTGATGCATTTTGTACACTCATAAAAATAAGAAACAAGCAATACTAAAGGGTAACGCTGAGCAAACAAACAGACAGCAGACAGGAGTGAGGATGCTGAGCACCACTGGGAGAGAAGCCCAAGAAGGATACAGTAGCCTGGCTCTTGCTGGCAGCAGAGATTGAAACCGGGAGTTAGATTCCAGGAGATAAAATCAGTAAGACCTAGTGAGTGATTAAAGATGGGGTGAAAGAAATGGAGAGAACTGCCAACGCATACTGATGCCCTGCATCTACACACACATATCTATGCAGGGAAATGCAGAGCATCACAGCTTGCAGAGTGCACACCAAACTGTCAGCAGATGTTACCTGTAGGAAGAGACAATGAAGTTTACATAGTAAATGGCAGATTTTTAACGATATACATGTATACATTACTTAAGTATTTTATAATCTACACACAGTTTTCAGTCGAAGTTCATGTGGAATTAAAAAGTGGAGGAGGGCTGGTTCAAGATGGGTCAGTGGGTAAATTTAGGCTCCTGCTGCCAAGTGGAGCCCACACTGTGAAAGGAGAGAATCAGTTCACACAAACTGCTTTCTGACTTCATGTGTGTGTGTATGCATGTGCACAATGCATGTATACACACACACACACACACAAACTTAAAAAGGCATTTGCTAGAATATCATTGGGGGAGAAAGAACAATCTACCAAATAACAAGACATGACAACTTGCTGACACCCCTGGTGACTTGAGTGACTCCCAGAATGCACAGGGTGAAAGGAATGAACTCTGCACACTGTCCTCTGACCATAGTGTGTGTGCCGCACACATGTACACACATATACAAACACACATCCATTTTATAAGTGCAAACATGTAAGAATATGTAATCTATTTAGGGATTACCAAGAAGTCTAGTCTCTGCAGCAGCAGGAGGAAGTTGAGTTCTGAGACGAGGACTGGAGTTCCTTTCGGGAACAGCCACACCACTACAGGTCACTACAGTCAGAAACTATACAGAACTACCTAAACTATCAGGAGAGAAATAATATAGTTTTTGAGCATGAACGTGAAAGAAATCAAGTTTATAATGTATTAAGATTATTCGGGAGCCAGTGTGAAGAGCAAGCCATAAGGGAGGTGAGACACAGGAAGGCAGGTGACAAGGGGAGCTGGAATAGAACACGAGACACACTGAGACACACTTTAGAAGAAACTGACAGAACTTGGTGGTTACGCTGTATTTGACAGGAAGAAGTCAGATGTCACATGGCATCCAGTTTAGGAAATGAGGCATCAATGGCATCAACCTGCAAGAACACATTAAATGTGGCGGTGAATCTTGTTTTGAAGTTATTAAAGTTCCTCTATAAGTAGGTCAAGCACCCCACAGGAAACTGGATATATTGTAAGTTTAAGCTGAGGAACAATCAGGGTGTCAGCAAAATACACTATTACCCAGAAATGTTACACATACAGACACAACCTTACCCTTGATGTTATTTCACTGAAACTTGATGCAACTGTCAAGAGTTGACCAGTTCCATTTATTCTCATAGTTGTAAAAATTCCATATAATTCTTAAAATCTGTAAGCAATGACTTTAAAAAGGAGTTTTTGTCATGGTCTTTCTTAAAGTATTATTTTTTTAACCTTTTCCTGTTGATCTGCTATTCATTTCATCTGCCTGTCTCCACTGATCTCCTGTGCCCACCCTATCGGCCTTCAAGTAACATTTCCACTGTTGCTAATGTTGCTCCAACCATAGAGATGCATCACTCCGTCAGAATCCCAGTCGGAGGTACCTTGGTCTATGTCCTAGCTTGGTAGGGTGTAGGAAGTACCTGTTGGCAAGGAAACAGCTGCTTCCTTCCTGAGCAGGTGACAGATGGGCAGAGCAGAAAAGCAGCCAAATGCTGCTCTGGCTTCTCATTGGCAAGAATTTTAAGAATCAAGACATGACTTGTAAAGTCTATCGATCATTGAGAGAATATCGTCTGTCTGGGTGTTCTCCCAACACTCAGTGGGGTTTCCCAAACATCTATATTTCTCAAATGTTAAGTTTGACATGGTAGCAAGAGCCTTGCCTTTGCCTTCTACAGTGAGCTAAGACAACAAGGCACAGTCCCATTGAACTTTGAGGATTATACCCAAGAGAATGCACTTTCTGGTTAAAAATGTTTTCAAAAAGAAACTTTTCATTTCTGAAGTTATACTGGTGTTGACTTAACTATTAAAATTTTGTTAGAAAATGTCCTTCTTAAATGTTTACTTTTATATACTTAATTTTAATTTTTTAAAATATTTGCTGAAAAATGTTATTATTTCTCTTTTTGGCATTTCCCCTCCCATCTACTTTTGTGCCTAGGACATTAAATATCCAAGGACCCCTAGGTTTACCAGACAACCAATGGACTGAAATGACTAACATTTTTCTTTAAAGCTGTAAGAAGGTAAGTTCTTCAAGAGATGGAAAACAGTAATCACTAAAAACATTAAAAATTAGTGTGCCATGAACTATGGAATTTTAAAACATCAGTTTACTAAACTGAAATTCAACATTTATATTTTCATCAGAACTTAATAATCCCATAAATAAATAGAGCTCTCAATTATTTAAAAAATCAAGGGATAACATATGTATTTAGACATATTAGCAGCGTAAAATGTATGCTTCAACACACTTATTGATAAAAAGTCCGAAAATATTACTACACTGAATTCAAGGGCATCCGCAGGAACCTGACATAGAAATTCTCTAGAATAACATTTCAGGAACTTCCAAAAAAGGGGGAAAGAGTCAAATAGGAAACAGCCTCAACTTAATCGACAAGGTTCAGTGCTTGCTCTAACTTGATTCTGTCTCTCTCTCCACTGGGGGAGGAGGGGTTCAAGACGGGTGAATTATTTAGACGAAAGTTCATCTACTGGAATAAAGGGGGAGGCTGCTTGGGCAGGCGACACAGGAGAGTCGGTGGTGGTGCTGACTTTCGCTGGTGAGTTACAGGAAGATCCGGCACTGCTGCTGTTTCCATCCAGGGTATCGGAGGCTATGCACACGCCGGGGTCTGACAGCTGTGCAACGTCAGAAGACAGCATGTTGGTGATGCCCTGGAAAAATCTCTTTGGCTGATAATCAGTTTCCATTTCACATTTTCTTTTCAATGGTCCAAGAACACTTGGTCTGATGCAGTTGATGGGACTCTGGCTTCGCCGGGTAGTAAACCGGGTGGTGGGGCTGGGAATAGGACTTGGAGGCAATCCGTTGCTACTCACAAAACTTTGCAAGGACGGTGAAAAACACTGCTTCCCAATTCCCCGGGTCGGGGACGGTGCTGGAGACACCGGAATGAAATCGATGCGCTTTGGAGAGGCGGATTTCTCCACGTCGTTGTCACTCAGGCTGAAACTTTCCTCCCAGGAGTGGCTTATCTGCATTGCGGTCTGCACCTCGCGCTCGTGGACCGTCTCTCGGTTGATCAGGTCCATGCCCTCCTCCTGTTTGATCTGGTGCAAGCGGCTGCTGTGCATGCGGACCGGCGAGGCCGGGAGCAGCAGGCCGTGGCGGCTCGGGAACGTCGTGCTGTTCCGCCTGGCGCTAGGCGCCTCGGCCTGGAAAACCGGCGAGGAGTCGCTGAGGCCGTGGATCAGGGGGGCGCTGTTAGATCTCCGGAGGCCCCCACCGCCCGGGCCACCGCCCTCCGCCGGGCTCGCGCCCGTGCCCGCGGGCAGCTCCAGGTCCAGCTCCATCTTCTCCTGAGCCATGTCTCGGCAGGGAGGCGGGGGGCGGTGCTCAGTCAGGGCCCTGAGATTCCCATTCCCCGCGGCCGAAGGCCGCCGCTGCCGCCGCCGCCTTCGAGAATCTGTCAGCAGGCTCGCGCCTCTGCGCATGCGCGCCCCGTCGCGCAGGCGCCCCGACATGGCCGTCCTCGCGGCGCCAACTTAAGGCGTCACTGCTGCGGCGCGCCGGGCGGGGGAAGGGCGAGCGGTGGTTGGTTGGCTTGTCAGTTCGTTCCTTCCGCAAATAGTCGCTGGGCGCGGGCTAGCGGGAAGGCAGGTTGTAAAGACGGGGCGGTTAGAAGTCTATGTTTGTGAAGCAAGTATGAGCTCAGAAAGACGGGGCCCTTGGCGATGCGGGGCTTTATGATGGAGCGTGGGCTAGTCTGGGAGGGCTTCCGGGGGGAAGGGAACACAGTCGTCTGAGATCTAAAGGAGGCAACGGCGGCGCTTTGTAAAAACCGTCCTGGAAGAGGGAAGCCCCTGCTACCCAGCTAGGTGTCAGACGGGAACCAGAAGTGTTAGCCTGGTGGTGGACAAGAGCAAGTTCTGGTCTTTCTTGATAACAAGGAAAGCTCCCAGGCGTTCTCAAGGAACGGCAGAAGGGTACGGTAGCAGCCGAACTGTTCTTTGGCTGCTGCGGTCTGGAGAGTAAGACAGGGGTGATTAGAACCTACAGGGAGAAGGCCAGAGAGGACGGTAATTTACATGAAGGCAGAGTCTGGGGCTGGAGGGGGGGGGGAGAATAAGCACATTTAAGGCTGGGAGGGAGAAGCTTTCTGACTTTCTACATCGTCATATTTCTGCCACTAATGTTCACTCAGCATGGGAATTAAACGAACGGAAAAATAGGTACATTTTTAAAAGAACAACAGGTTTTGGCATATGTAATTGACACAGAACTTTGTATCTCATTAAAAGAGGGATTGTATTTGTTCATTCAATCAGTCAAATCTCCTATCCCAGCATGCCTACTTACTGTGTACCAGGTACTGTGCTTAGGAAATGAGACTTGAGCCGGGCGATGGTGGCGCACGCCTTTAATCCCAGAGGCAGAGGCAGGCGGATCTCTGTGAGTTCGAGACCAGCCTGGTCTACAGAGCTAGTTCCAGGAAATGAGACTTGTGTGAGGACATTTGGTTTCTACTGGGTGGGAATGGGGGTAGTGACCAAATAGGGGACTTTTGGCGGGAAGCCTTTGGGGGTAAAAGTAGGATGGTGTGATAGGGCACTACCGATAGAAGAGGTTAAGGGGCAACTAGGTAAAGTTAAGTTATAAATAACAAGTCTTGTGGACTGTAGGGGACTGAGTGTTCCAACCAATGTTAAGCGCCAAGACATCCACTGGTCTGGGGAAAAGCGGGTGAGCAGGCGGGGGGNGCGCCAAGACATCCACTGGTCTGGGGAAAAGCGGGGGGGGGGGGGGGGGGGGGGGGGGGGGGGGGGGGGGGGGGGGGGGGGGGGGGGGGGGGGGGGGGGGGGATAGTCAAAGTGTGATGGGGACTGTGGCCTGAGAGGGCAGAGGGCTGAGTATTTCTTATTCTGTAATGAGAAGCCACTGGGGAGTGTTAGGCAGGGTTACAATAGGCGTGTGTTTTATTTGTATGTTATTGTTTGAGATGGAGTCAAGACTATGTTTTTGCTGAGGCTAACCTCAAACTCCTGAGCTCCAGGATGCATCTCAGCCCCCAAGGAAGCAGGACTCAGGGCAGACAACATCACACTAAGCTTGGTGTATGTTTTAAAAACCAGTGGAAAATGAGCTTAAAAAGGGCAAGAGGCACACAAAATTAGGAAGCAGAAAGCAGAGTGCGGGACTAGGGTTGTAGAGGAGGTGGTGGGGAGAAGTGGATGGACACGACATGATTTGAGGTTCAAACAGTAAGACTGGCCAGGAGATTAAATTTAGGTGTTCAAAGAAATAAGTAATTTAGATGGTAATATCAAATAGATAGGAAAGGTACACGGGTGGAGGTTAAGAGTTCAGTTTTGGTAGGGTTGGAGTGACCTTTAGATACAAATGTGGCCACTTTGGGTAGTAATTTTTTTTCAGCTGGAAAAAAAAAAAGAACGGAGGTTACAGGGATCAGTGGCATTCAGCATTGCACAGCTCTCCAAGCCTCCTGTCTTCCATGTCAAACAGGTTTTATTTGAAGTGTCTTCTAAATATGGGTCCTGAAGATAAAGACAATGCTAAGTGTTCGTGTCGGTTACAGAACTAATTTGCACATTGCCATAATTCATTAAATCCTCACAACAGTCTCATGGGTAGGTATTATTGACCCCAGTTTTCAGGGAAAACCAGAGCCTAAGTAACACCCGTAGAGAACCTGGCCTCTGTGGGTACAGTCTTAGCATGCTTACTGATGTCTTTACGTGCAATGGCAATGGCGTTTCGGGACTCATTTGCATATTGGTGGCAGTGTAAAGGAAGTGGTGTGAGAGAGGATTTGAAGGACAGGATTATAATGGGTGATGTTTTATATAGAAGGAAAAGATGACTGCGGCATAGTGAACTTGACTAATAGATGAAGTTACTACCTGGAGAAGAATAATGGGGAAAGATGGTGTCAGAATGGAGATGCGAGCGCCTGCAGAAGTTTCTATATTTAACATGGGAAGTAGTAGGCTGCTGCTCAGAGTTTGACAAGAATGACACAATGAGAGCCATGTTTTAGGATCTGCCAGATGTTTCAAAGATGAAGGGATGGCAAATAACAGCAGATGGAACGAACCAATGATTTAAGTGTCTATTGCTCCCAGTCATTTCAGCACTGCAAAGTCCCGTTTTCTCCTGATTGCAGTTTTATAAATTAAACTGGTCTATAAGTTATATGTTATAAATTAGTTACTGATGTTGTTGAAAGGGTCAGTTGTCAAAAAAAAATCTCAAAAGGCCCAACTGCCAATAATATGGAAGAACAAAGGCCTGAACCAAGGTCCTAATTTGAAAACTGTTATGCTGCTGCTTGATGGGTTTCACAGGGACTGTGGGAGAATTTGATGATTAATTCTTAAGACAGAAGGATGCTCTAAAAGCTGGGAATAGCAGAAGGATTTGGGGGACACCTTTATACTCAGAAGATGAAGAGAGACAAGTCTCAGATATGGATGTGTACAAGGAACGGTCCATTAACTTAAACAGCAGAGGGAGAAAAATGTTCATAAAATAGGAGGTAATGAAAGACTCTTAGACATAGGATGTATTTTAAAACATCTGTATCTGTAGAAGATTACTAATTATTGCTAATAAGCCAATCATTGTTTACCCATGTCTGATGTCCAGGTACTAATGTAATTATTAAAGTACAGTGATTTTTGATAATCCCACAAAGTAAACCACTTATGCCGCACCAGTTAGAGGTCTCTTTTTGTTTTCCTTCCATGCCTTTCCCGTATAGTTCACTTTACCCAATTTTCATTTTTAAAATCATTTTTTAAAATTTGACTTATTGCTTTCTTATTCAGAATCCTTAGATTTTTGTGTGTTTTTTTGAAAAAGGCTAAGATCATCCCAATGGCCATGGCTTTCCTGACGACTCTCTGCCCTCCTGCTGACCTCGTCTCTAAAAACTTCCAACCCCAGGGGCCTCCTTGCCTTGAAGCCTATCTAGACACTGCCCTAATCCTCATAGATGACCTCCTCTGGTGGTCATCCCCACTGCTCAGTTCCACAATGAAGTGACACTGGTTGTTCTCTCTGACATTACCTTAAAAAAAAAAAAAGCAGTTTCCTATAGTCTGCCTGCATTTCCAAGCCTCTTATCCAGTTTTTATTTCCTGTGGGAGAATCACGTCTCTCTGTCCCTACTTCCATCTCACTCTAATCTCTATTCCTACGTCAATGCTTTCTTGCCTCTTCCCCACCTAAAAATTTAAGTTCCTTATGAGCAAAACCAATTTTGCTCTGGGCCATATGCCCAGAATCAAGAGCATGGCCTGCCATAGACTATTCAGTGTTTCTGGAGCCATTGTGTGAATGAATTATAGTGAATGGCTGAAATAATCTAAGTCTGTCCAAAAGGGAAGTAAGTGAAGACTGTTATTTGGAAAGCTAGCCTAACAGGCTTTTCTAGATTGATCCTAGGCACCTCTTCCTGTGAGAGTTCTTTCTAGTGCCAGGAATATTATTCTTGGTTATATTGCCCTCCGGCCCACACAGGTAAGTGACTTGAATGGACCATTATGTAACCCAATAAACTAGAGCCCTGTGGTTCCGTCTCTTTTCAACCTTCTGCTGGCACATGCTTGACAGAACTAAAATGCTCAGAGATGAAGATTCTAAATGGAGTTTAATATATTGAGTTACTGCTTCCTCTCAAGGCAATCAAGAACAAATGAGAGAAAATCGAAGTCATAAAATGCAATTCAAACTGTTGCAAATGAATTGTGAGAGGCAGAATCTAAAGGACCAAGCCCTAGTTGAACAGTCTTTCTGGTTTCACTCTATAAATTAAATATTATATGTGTACAGCTGAAATTCATGTTCACTTCTACACCATAAAACTAGATGTCTCTTCAGGTATTATAATTAATATTTGATTTTTAAAATTAATGTTTTTTTCATTTCTGTGACATTTTTCATTTTTTACTGGTAAGCCTTTGGGCATACGGCAAGGCAAATTTCTACCTCTCAATCTATACCAAATAAATGAAAAAATGTAAACACATGTATGTTTATGGGTATAATCTCAGATGAGTAGCAAATGTCTCAACCTCCAACACTGGCTGGCATCATTAATCTAAAGGAAAAGAAAATTGTACTCTGAAAACACAGGAACTTAGGAATGTTCACTGGTACATCAATTAGGAAAAAATGTCAGCATAAAAAAAGAATATATGCACTAATTTTGGATATACTGAGAACCCAAGAGAGATGAGTGCTGAGTTCTAATAAAAGAAGAATATTCCTGATTTACTATTTGTAAAAATCCCAAGTCAAAATCCACCCAGATACCCTCAAAGGAACAAATACATAACTTAGACAATGGCATTTTTCACTCAAAAAAGATGCTTGGATCATAGCATAATCTTGGATAGAAGATTTCAAACACAGTGTGTACTCTATGGTCGTATTTTGTTTTATTTTTAAACAGGGTCTTTCTAGGTCTCCCTGTGTAG